GTTCCCATATAATTGCAGTTTAACAAATAGAACAAAGCAAAACAACTACAAGTTCTAACTGCCTTTCAAGAGGTTGGCTAGGTTTTGACAGGCTGCTACAGATATGTTCTGTATGGTCTCTCCATCAGGTTGGACATGGAACCATAGAATCATAGAAGAAGAAGAATCACAGAACGGTTTGGGTTGGAAGGGACCTTAAAGATCATCTAGTTCCAATCTCCCTGCATAGGCAGCGACACCTCCCACTGGACCAGGCTGCTCAGAGCCCCATCCAACCTGGCCTTCAACACTGGAACAGGGAGAGGGCATCCACAGCTTCTCTGGGCAACCTGTGCCAGTGCCTCACCACCCTCACAGTAAAGAATTTCTGCCTAAGACCCAATTTAGATCTTAAGGAATCTTACAACACGTATAAAAAGACACCTGCTAAGTATAAACCAGCTCTAAGTACCAAACCATTATACACTTCAGGGACCTCTTAGCAGAGTCAAGTGCTGGTCTTTATGTCAGGACTCGTGGGGATGAGGGAGTCACTTGTGCCCCAGCCTTGTCCCTCCATGCTCAGGTTGCCTTGCCAAAGGAAATCAGTTGATGGAGTCCATCAAGTACTCAACTGCAAGCCAAGAGATAACAGTATGGACCACTGGACTGCAAAAGCAGGGAAAAAGTCATGTGACATTATTGCTGCACCATGGAAGGTACTTTACCGTGTAATTTATATTTTCAGGGTTATAAAATAACACAGAGTCTTGAACATGGCATAATTGTGCAAACACTCCTAGTCACTGGGTTTCCCCCACTCTGATCTGTATACCAAAAAGACTGAGGATTAGAGTTACATTTCCAGTAAGGTGGATCATTCTGTTGAACCTAAGTCAGTCAGCTGGGGCACCTATTCTGCAAGTTAACAGACAGGAGAGAACTAAAACTTTTCATTCCAAGGTAGTGATGACCTTGAATGGCAAGACTTCTGACACTTATATCTGAAATAGTAACTCAGATTAAATTATATTCTAATAGATAACATTCAATATAATTTTGGTTATTTTAAAACTGAAGACATACTAACCCATGAAAATATTTAAAAAGTTGTATTTATCAAAAAACTATGAGAAAATAAAGCTTTGCAGGCTTGCTCTACTTGCTTAAGGATTAACACTATGAAAACTGTTAGAAAACAAGTGTAGCAAGAATTACAGTATTCTGTCTTGGATAATCACCTTCCCAAAGTGCTAATTCACAGCTTGATGGATGATTAACATTAGGGGAAAATTACTCATCTGATTACCAGCAGGAGAGAGATAAAATGAACATAATATAGTGCTGAATTTAGTATTATAATCACAAGTAGAATTTTTACAGATATACTGCAGCAGGGAATACTCCCAGTTATACATACAGGAATTTCCTGAAGCTAATATGTCATTTATTCCTGGCAAAGTCTGTCCTTTGTCTACATATATTTCATTTTTCCCAAAAAGAACAGCATTAAGCTACATAAGTGCTGGACCAGCTTTTGCCAGATTTAACTACTGTATATAGTAAAGCTTTAGTAAAGTAATACATCTTATTACCTGGAAGGTGAGCTAGAGGAGCACTTTCATCATCCTACCAGTTACAAAGGACATCTCCAAGCCTGCAGCATACTTCATTGTAGAGGAACTCAGAATAAGATTTACTCTTGAAGATTTTATTTTTTACTTTGTTTTGCAAAGATAAATAGAAAAGAATTAGATGACCTGATGGAGAGGAACTCTCCACAGAGGCAAATGTGAACATGACAGGATTTTAAGCACACAGCAGTCCTTTTAACTGTATATTTCCTGTACCTTTCTGTATACTATTTTTTACCATCTTACAAAATTTTAGATCAGTCCTCCAGGCCACATTTCCATTACAGTCTATAGTCCAGAGAGTTCCACCACCATCAGTTTTCTGATGAAGGTTAGACTTCTTTTCACTTATTCTGCACCTTGTTGTTCTGCAGGGAATTCTTATCTAACTTCACTATCTGTTACTGTAAAACAACTGTGTTGTGAAAAACGCATCTCTTTGTTGTATGGAAATGCAAACAACAGACTTGGAAAGAAGGAATGGAAAACAAAGCTCTCACTATTACTAAGCAGTACCATGGAAAAATACGATAAATATTTTGTTTAAAATTATTCTATGCTATTTAGACATTTGCACTTTATGGAGAAAATTCTCTTCTACCCCAGTGCCAAGAACTGGAAACCAGTTCTGGCTCCAAGTGTTTCTCAGGATTTTCGAGGAAGGGGAACTACGACAGCCTCGACAAACCCGGGCTGCAGCAGCAATGCTGGCCCTGCATCGTGGCTCCGTGACCATCAAAACCATGCAGGAGCTGCACCCCTGCCTAGCACATATGGGTTCTCTTCCTCAACCAACTGCTCTTCATGTTCAGCACCACTTCATGGAGACAGAGAAGCCCTGGACTGCTGAGCTTCTGAATGTATTCTCTGGAGATGCCCAGACTGACCACTTCAGTCCAGCACGACACTGAGCACAAGTTCATGGGGTCTGTGATTTCTGCTGATGCCATCAGGTGATGCCAGAGCACAGGGCATGTGTGGCTCATCTGTTTGAAGTCTGTCTAAATTTTGACTCACAGAATGACTGTTGGTTTGCATGCAGCAACTCATGGGTCACACATGCCATTACTCAGAGGTAACAGATTCAACATTACATTTGCAGTTCTCACTTGCTCCTCTCAAGCTACTTGCCTGTAACAGTCAGAAGAAAAGCTAGATGTATCTTCAAAGAAAAAATAAATTTAAAAAAAATTCAAATATGTGTTGTTATCCCAGTGCACTGAAAATTATGTACATTTTATCTAGTATGTACACTTCATAGCCTGGCTGTGATACCAGTTTGCATGCCCAAACCATGAACATTTTTTTGAGCATAATATATTTAATAATTAAGTATACCTAGGTCAGCTGTTTAGAAGTGCAGATCTTCTTTTACAGCATTTCCTTTTCTGAGTATATTTACATAATATAAAAATAGACCTTTAATTTCAATAAGCTACAAACTCTTGTACCGTATTTTATAACAGAACTGGGGCATGTAAATATTTTCAAATAATCTTTCAATATATGATTTCAGTCTCTCCAAAGTGCTACTTATAGCTTCATCTGCTCTATAGATTAAAAAAATGCACAATGGAGGTGAGTTCTTAAATAGCATTCATCACATTTTAGAAGAGATAATTGAAATTCCTGTTTCTGTTCCCCTGCCTGTTCGTGAAAAAAGGTCTGCAGCCAAGGTCCCAAGCATCCTGATACCTCACAGGCCAACCCCTTGCATCCGAAATGCTGCTGATGGCAAAAGCTACAGGCTTCACAACACTATGATGAGGACCTGGCACACACTTCCAGAGATTTTGATATTGAAACTACATTCTCATTTTGCTGGTTGAAACATTGCTGCTTGCAGAGAATGAATTTTCATTCAAACTTTTAAAATATTTTAAGCTTCAATGTATTTATGCAATGCTATGTTGAGATTGAACTGCCCTTAAACCTAAGCAAAACAGCTGCATAGTCAGTTTCTCAAATGGCTCTTTGGAAAACAAGAATTTTATTTTCATTATTTTGCTGAATTCAGGGTTACAAAGTGTTTCAATTTTTTTTTTTTACTTCATGTGGAAAAAGCTCGATGACAGAAAAATCAGTAAGTATTGTTATGTGGAATTACTTCCAAACAAGTTTTATAATTTTCAAATACAAAATTATCTAAACCTGGACAATTAAATGCTCGTTTACTCTCAGAAATTATTGGGCTGGGTTTCAGAGATTTTGAGAGCTCTCAATTATCACTCTACTGCCAAGGAAGAACTTCGTGTGTGCTCCTCTGTAAACCACATCACTTGATTCAGCAACCAAACACAACACCAGCTACAAGCCATGCTGAAGGTCACCTCTAACTTTGGAGTGTCTGTTTGTCTGGGACTGAAAGAGCCTTGGTGTTAGTGAATTACAAAATATTTCCCTTTTGCTATTCAGTATGAGCATACAATAATGCCAATAACAGGAAATATTGCTAGTACAGCACCCTCAGCGAGCTGCTGACCAGTTTCAAATCATTGCATACGTGGGTATCTGCAAAGTGAAGCTTCCTTCTTAAAGTTTCAAATATCAGTAAGACACTCAAAGGCAGCTGGAGGTTTCCAGCTACAGGAAAACGTAAGAGGTTGCGGTACGGTCAGCCTCACCATTGAGAGAATCTGTGTACAGACTGAAATAAATACACAGGTATTTATCCGGGGTTTATGTTACTGACATGACAGAAAGGACATCCTGGGGCAGTGGCCCCAGGATGAACCATTTTGCAAGGTTCAATGTCTGTACTATTGCACTCTTGGTAGCACGATCATCTTCATGCGGTGAGATTAGTACCAGTCAGAGCATTCAATTGCAAGGCCACCTGAAAAGCTTGAAGTCTTAAGCTGTTACTTCTCTTTAACACAATAACCTACAACTCTATAAAAGCATCTAAAATGGTGGAAAGTACATTCCACTACCACTCACATAGTCTCTGCTATTTCGGTAACAAATAAGAGCTGCTAAAAAATCAGCTGCAGCTGGCAGAACTAATACTTGAGACAAAACCAGGGAGACACTGGAGTTTCTTCATTCTCTTAGGCCTGAGGAAATAGTTTGTGTGTATATATATATATATATATATATATATGTGGCTCCTTGCCCACGCACTCAAACACTTAAGTCACACACCTATGCCTCTGGAGATGGGTGTTTGCGTGTGGGAGGCAACGCAAAGGATGAGGTGAGGTCTGGCAGGCAACACCTTGGCCTTCTGAAACCTCAAACCACACTTCAAGTACACAGCTTAGTGCCCACTTCATCCACAAACCCAAACTAGTGTCCAGTCCATTTACGTACCCAAACTCTTGCTTGCCCAATTCATGCACTAAAACCATGACCCCACTGATTGGGACACCTGCCCCACTTCCTCACCTGACCACATTGGGGTGCTCGAACGTCTCCAGGTGCCTCAGAACTGCCACCTCTCGGATGGTGGACAGTGGCATCCCCTCTTCGCTGGTCTGCACCCGCACCCGCTTCAGCGCAACAAAGCGGCCTCCGTTCTTCAAGTCTCGGGCTTTGAACACCTTCCCGTAGGCTCCTTCCCCAATCTCAGCCACGCATTCATACTGCTGGTCAGCCAGGTTTGTGCTGTCCTTATCCATGCTGGCACTACTCCTCTTCCTCCCACGCCCCACGTGCCTCGGGGTGGCTCTTGGTCTCACTTGCTCTCTGGTATGGGCACTTCGCTCACGTTGCAGACAGGCCACGCACTCGGCACCTCTGCCAGGGGCAGCAGGAAGCTCTTGTCCTCCTGTTCTCGTCCCTCTTCTGTACGGGCTCCAACGTGCCTCCTCTTTCGGCCACCCAGAATTATCATACAGTTTTTAGGGGCATTGTCTGTGTAAAGCCAATTAGATCTGGGGGACAAACGAAGCAAGAAAAATGAGTTTAGTTTACTTCATTACTTCAGCATTGTTTAAAAACTGAGAAAACTAAGCTAACCTATTAGATAGCTACAGGCAAAGCAAAAACATGGTGCAAAGGAAGATGTGAACCACCAGCGTGGCACACGTATTAACACCCCTGAATGGCTGACAGAACACTACAATTAGAAAGGTCTGCAGAGAAGGCTACAACACATGGCTGCAGAGCAAACACGTGCTGTGGGATTCTACTGAGCAAGGGGCTGAACGCAACAACCCTGTGAGCCACGGGTGACGGGGAGGGCAGAGCTCACCATGCACGCGTGAGAGGAAGCTCTGTCCTAGCACTTGTGTCAGGACTGCAGGACTCAAAGGTTCTTCAGTGCACATGGTGGAAATACATGCCTTGCTATCTTACAGTTACTTATTAGTAAATAATAGTACTGGGAGGTTTCAGCCTCGATCTCATCTCCTCCGTGCTAAGCCCTGCCTGAACACATCGCAAGAGACAAGTTCCTGCCTCAAAGTGCCTGCTGGGAGGAGGAACATGTACATATTGGCATGACGATCATGTTTCTGAGCGTTGTGTGCTGAGGTACATTCAGAAACGTACACTCCAGCAAAGCCATTCAGACGCGAGGGTTTGGGCTGTGGGTGCTGCTACTGCTGGATGTGTGACTGGCAGCTCCTTGCAGAGCAGCCTGATGAGAGATGGTCTTCAGGGAGAGCTCGCTCTGCTCTGCAGGGCACCAGGCTGGAGAGCAGAAGCAGTGCCTTCTGCACCCACACTTTCTGCAGGGCTGTGGGCAAATCACCTCCCCTCACAAAGCTCCACACAAACCCTCTTCCTTCCCCCTGCCCCTTCTTGATATAAAGATACTGGGGCCTCCGGGGCTGTAACTTTCTCCTACACTACATTCTGACCATGCCAGGATTAAAGTCCCTTAGATAACTCAGTCGAAGAGCCCCTGACTTCAATCAACGCGTAAACCCAGAGGTCTTCTGCATGTTTATGCTGATTTTACACCGAAGGAAACCTGTGCCCAGTGCCTCCTGCTCACCGACTCCTCCGGGCCGCAGCCGGAGGGACCCTGCTCCCCCACCG